TTTAGTAAAAATCACTTTTCCTTTATCCGAATTATCCATTGTAATGGTTCTGTGGTATTATTATGTCTCCTCATATTCTTTCTTTGAAATATGTAGAACATAAATGATTTTTTAAAAAAACTACACATTTTCATTATTTCTCTGAAAGTCTAATGTTTAGATCTCCTCTTTCAATCCTAAAAAATAGGGCAGGACAGAAGATTTTACTTCAAAGAGTACTGTTTATCTCCGGATCAGAGATAGAAAGGAGAAAGGTAAAAAAGAAGGAAAAGTCAAAGAAGAGCATACTTTGCCACTGGAATCCCATCTAGCTAAACAGTCTCATCTTTGGCTTCAAAATACCAGCTCTTAAAGTCCTATAGTTAACTGCAAGGCCTGCAGTCCACGCCCACCCACCTCCCCTGCTTTGTCTCTGACCTGCAGAGAGCTCCACAATTCTGACTCAGTTTTAAATGACAAAGAAGACAAAATAGAATTAGGAAAGCATACATCTCATGAGCACAAAGGCATGTACTGTATAATGTCCCATTTAACCTCACACACACACACACAAAGATAGCTCTCATTTTGGTTGCCGTATTGGTGAGATTTCTTCAAGTCTAATTCACTTGCTTTACTCCCAATCCTTCACCCCAGTTCAGTTACTGATTCTGTAAAATTCTTTTTCTTCCAACTTTATTGAGATATAATTGAATATAACCTTGCATTGGTTAAAGTGTATGACGTAATGATTTGATCTATGTATATACTGCAAGATGAAAACTTTTTTTTTTTTAAAGATTTTATTTATTTATTTGAGAGAGAGAATGAGGGAGAGAGAGCACATGGGGGGGGTCAGAGGGAGAAGCAGACTCCCCGCTGAACAGGGAGCCTGATGCGGGACTTGATCCTGGGACTCCAGGATCATGACCTGAGCCGAAGGCAGTCACTTAACCAATTGAGCCACCCAGGCGCCCTGAAAACTCTATTTCTAAGTTGCTAATTCTCTACCTCAAAAAGGAGGCCACAACCACTGGAATCTCGTATTATCTCGTGATTAGAGTCGGAGAAACTAGAGTAATGAATGCTCTGGTTGGCATCTTTGACAGTGGACTTTCAAAAATATTCCATTACTAAGTTTGAATCAACCTTGGAAATGTCCTATACACAATGTAAGTGGTGGCTGGTAGCCATGACTGTCATCTCTCAAGATGTAGCAGAGGCTTTATTACGGATAGACTATTCATGTTTTATACCAATAGAGAATTTCCTTATACAGATAGCAAGTTCTTTCTAGAAGAGTCATTTCATGACTTCCTATAGTTAAATCGAACAGGTTTTCTGCATTTCTGTGCAAGACTCAAATGTCTGTGATGACCTGTGTCATAGAACAAAGTTCATGATTCTGGTCCAGTGACCATTTCTGGGCAAGTTAATTCTTTAATGATTCAAATTTACAACCTGCCTTTAACCACTATGGAAGATACTCTATGTCTTAATTTTACTTGGTTTAATGTTACTATACATTCTCTTTCTTTTGTTCTCGTCATGTCTTCATCTGATTGTACCGTATGCAGTTTTAGAAGCCACTTCAAATATTTTCTAGAACATGGTAAGATATAAAATTAACTTATCTTTTAAAATCATTTAAAAACCTTAAGTCCCAAAAATTCAGGTTATAGGTCTCATTGTCCCAAATATGCACCTGTGAGTACAAGTTGAATTCATTCATTTAATAAATATGTTTTAAGTGCTTACCATGTGTTAGGCACTGTTCTGGAAGCTGGGGGAAACAATGGTGAATAGTATGTTAGTCAGAGGTAAGGACCATGGGAAAAATAAAGCATGGAAGGGGAAAAGGAACGCCATGGGTTACAATTTTTAAATAAGATGGTCAGAGAGGGCCTGCCTTACTGAGGTGACAAATCATGCCCGGAAGGATCTGAAGATGAGGAATTAAACCACATAGATATCTAAGGAAAGAGCATCCCAGGCACAGGGAATATCAAGTACAAAGTTCCTAAGGCAGATGAGAGCTTTGCATTTCTGAGGATCAGCTAGGAGACCAGAGTGGCTAAGGTGGACTGTCAGATGACCCAGAGACGAGGGGAGAGCAAAGGCAGATCAGGTAAGGACTTGGACCATCATAAGGACTTGGCTTATGAATGGAATGAGACGATGGGGAGCCTGGGTGGCTCAGTCAGTTAAACGTCTGCCTTTAGCTCAAGTCATGATCCCAGGGTCCTGGGATCGAGCCCTGAGTCAGGCTCCCTGCTCAGTGGGGAGCCTGCTTCTCCCTCCCCCTCTACTCCTCCTCCCTGCTCTCTCTCTCAAATAAATAAAATCTTTAAAATAAATAAATAAATGGAATGAGATGAGAAGCAACTGGAAGGTTCTGAAGTGAAGCTACATAACCTAGAAGAATGTACAGTACCCGAAATGTCTAAATGAAAAGAGTGGTAGCTGTGGGAAGCATTAGTCCGCAAATACTTACTGAATCCATACTACTTAATAGGATTTTCCTAAGCACTGGGCATACAGTGGTAAATAAAAGACACATCAGTCCAAGCTTCGGTGTTACGGGTGAGAATAGTAACAAATGATTAAGCAAATAATTACAACTACACTATGTATGAGAAGAACGTGGTGATTTTGGAAAGAAAATTGAGGGAGGGAGGTCTAATTTCGTCTGGGATATAGGGGAAGGCTTCTTGGAAGAAAAAAATATTTAAAGTGAGATTGGAAATATAAGTAGGAGTGAGTTAAGTGAAGAGGGATAAGAGGGACAAGAATACATCAAGCAGAAAGTGCCTGCAAAAATCCCCGAGGAAAAAAACAAAGGCCTCTTCAGGGAATTGAAGACCACTGCAGCTGGAGCTAAGTAGGCAGAGAAGAATGCCTGAAGGGTTGGGGTTGAATTCTAAGGGCAATAAGATACCAGCAGTTTAAAGCAGGAGCTCAAGGAGATTAGAGTTGTATATTTTAAAGATGACTCTAAAGCAATGAGCTTAGAGGAGGAAGAAGTGAGTACAGGAGGACAGTCAGCAGCTACTGTAGAAGTCTGGGCAAAGATAACAGGGGTGTAAATAAGTGTAGTGGATGCGGGAACAGAAAGACATGGATAGCTTGAAAGGTACTTAGGAAGGAGGAAAGACAATGTGATGATGGATTAGAGGCATGAGAGTTGAGAAAGAAGGTCCCGAATAGCTGAGGTTGCCTAACTACTTTTCTTGATCTTTCTGGATAGACAGATCCTATCTTCTTCACCAAGAGAAGACACCAATGTGATTCCTTTTGGGGGAAGGGACAAGAAAAAGCTGGTCATACCTCTAATAAGCCTTTACGCCATCGCTGCCAATTGTCATACACAAAAGAGTCTCAATTTGCACAATTTAGGCAATTTGTTCTGTTCCCACCAATGTATGAAACTTGGCTGTGGCTGTTCAGAAAAATGAACCAGTTGGATTCTACTTCTTAAATCTTCTGGTAAATACTCATGTTGCTAGTACTGTATAGATTTATGTAATTTGTAAGCAGGGAATATCAGTATTTTCTACAGCATTCTATCAAAGCTTTGTAAGTAATCCCAAGGCGCCAAATATAAATTTTCAGTACACTACAGCACTGAAGAATTAGTTCTTCACCAATGAAATGGAATGTATAACCCCTGGAAGTAGCCATTCCCTCTTGTTCGTGGACACTAGAAAAACCACTTATTCCTAACCAATGCCGTCACCAAAAAGGTGGATACCTTTTTTTAGGAAAACAGCTGAATAAGTTAATACCAGTGACTTACTTATCTTAAATCATTAAAGATAAATTGAGTTACTCAGAGAAAGAAAAATTGGCATTTTCTCTTCTAGAGACCATCAAACTCCTAGTCATGCTAACTATATTCTCTATAGCCATTCTCCACGGAGTCCTCAAACATTGCTAAACTAAGTGGGAGTTGTGTGTTTGTTTGTTTGTTTTTTCCATTAGGTCAGAGAAATAAAAGCCAAAAAAAATGAAAAGAAAAGACATTTGATACAATCTTTCTACTAGCATGAGGTTGAACCAACCTTACATGTTTTAATAGCCTGGGTGTCAAAGTGGATGGTATTACTAAATAAAATACCCAGAGGTCTAGAGGCTTTCTCTGTGCTCTGAAATTACAAAATCTCATGAATTAGACCAAAAATCAAACTGATATTATCGATTCCTTTGTCACAAGCAGTAGTGGTATGAAGTGAAAAGAAAGTTTCCTAAGACCCCAAATGTGTAGGAAAGCATTAGTACTAAAATAATACACCCGGATCAGTGACTGCAACTCATAGGGAAAAAAATGCATTTTATTTAATGACCAAGTACACAAACACAAACACACACACATTCACACATAGATACAATGGGAACATACTTACTCTTACCGGGTGGGATGCAGTGTGAAATGTTCTGCTCTATGCTCCTTCATTTAAAAAAAAAAAAATGCTGGTCACTACTTGTAAACAAAGGTTGCAAGCCACGAATACAATTACAGCATATAATTGCTCTAGAGCATTATAAATGCTAACTTAAAATTTTAGGGAAATGTATAGTCTTCCTCCTTCTTAGAATTGGCCCACAAAAGTACTCTGTGTACTCAGAGAAACCAAAAATTAACACAGCCTCCTGGTTTCCATGTATCCAGCCTGGACATGGTGCTTGCTTTCAGTGTGCTTAAATCATCTACCTTCCCAGGCCCAAGAGCTGTGGGAATGACTTGTAACAGGACTCTGTCTATACTGCACATTTTATATAGAAGTCCTTTTTATATATATTATTTCATGTTACCCTCACAACAACCCTGTGAGGTAGGCAGGGGAAATAATATCAGATTTACTTTACAGATGAAATTAAGGTCCAGAGAGGTTATGTGACTTTCCCAGGCAGATAATAAGAACCATTAACTTTTAGGTGGAGGGCTCTTCTCTCTAAACCACTGATGGTATAATCCGACCTCAAATATTTTTACCACTTCATTCTCATTTCTTATTGTTGATTCAAGTTTTTGTAGGATACAACAAAAGACCTGATTGTAAACTTATACCAAGTTTATGCTTCTCTACCAATGAAAATTTAGGGCCACAGGACATCTATTCTTTTGGAAGGCACTGTTTCCTTGGCTCCAATCTAAAGAAACATAAGCAATATGAAAGACTCTAAAGGCCAAAGAAATTGAAGAGAAATCAGAGGAAAGGATATAAAATGGAATGTATTAGTCGATTTTAGTCCCTGTAAGCTTTTACTTTTGTGAGAGGGTTCAATGGAGAGCTTTAATGCAGATGAGACTTGAGGCTTTTGAAGAGGATCTAAGTCTTGATGAAGTTATTCAAACTCAAATCTTGAATGCATAATGATGGTAGGCCCCAGGGTCTTCAAAAACTTGTACTTGATGCTTTAAAACAAAACAAAACACACAAAAAAATTCTACCAGCAAGTCTAAAAAATTTTTTAAGGGTTTTGAGAAGCTTTAACTCTTTGGCCAATAATTAATCAGACTACCAGATACCATGCTGAAAGAACAGAAAGGGAAAACCAAAATGAAATAAAGAAGAAAAAGAAAAGGAAACAATGATTTTAAAAGACAGAGCGTACAGAATAACTTAATATGTTTACTGGCTTATCTCTTTGAATAAGTTGCAGAATTATCTCCTTAAGTTGCAGAATTCAAACTTCTTGCAGAACCACCTTGGGCTATAGTCAGAGAAACTGATTTAATGATAATTTCTGGAAGCTCTCTGATCACTATCCATGATATTCGATTGTCTTAAAGGGCTTTTGATCTTTGAAAGCATGGCCAAGTATTTGTTGGAAGAGACAGCATAAAATAAAGTTGATTTTGTGGGGTAGAGAGAGAAATTGAGCTAGGAATATTATGGTCTGAAAATATTTAACAAGGGAGAAAAGTCAACAGACTTTCTTACTTTTCTTTTTCCTTACAATGGAAAAATTCAGACCACTTTACAGGTTTTTATGAAATAAATATACTAAATCTCACTGCCTGCTTTTGTGCTCATTCTGACTTGTTTCTTTTTATTTTATGTATGCCTATAAACCTGCCTTTTTTCCAAGAAAACTTTAAGCTTTTAAAAATTAATAATAATGGGGTGCCTAGGTGGCTCAGTCAGTTGGGCAACCAACTCTTTTTTTTTTTTTTAAAGATTTTATTTATTTATTCATGAGAGACAGAGAGAGAGAGGCAGAGGCAGAGGGAGAAGCAGGCTCCCTGCTCTGCTGGACTCGATCCCAGGGCCCTGGGATCATGACCTGAGCCGAAGGCAAAAGCTTAACCGACTGAGCCACCCAGGCGTCCCATTGGGTGACCAACTCTTGATTTAGGTCATGATCAGGTCGTGATCTCATGGATCGTGAGATCGAGCCTCACATTGGGCTCCACGCTCGTCGGGGAGTCTGCTTGGGGATTCTCTCTCTCTGCCCCTTCCCCCACTTGCACTTTCTAAAATAAAAAAATTAAACTTAAAAAAATAAAAATAATAACAATAGCAACTAATACATACTGAGTCTATACTTTGTGCTGGGCACTACTCTAAGCATTTTATGCAGATTAATTCATAATCCTCACAAGAACCCCATGAATTTGATATTACTATTATTATCCTCAATTTACAAATGAAGAAACTGAGGCACATAGAAATTAAGAAATTCTGATAGTTTACCTGGCTCGTAAATAGTGGAGTTAGGATTCAAACTCAGGCCTTTTGGCTCTAGAGTATCAACCTGTGCTCATTACTCTATAAAACTGGTTTCAATGCAACAAAATTGAACAGGACTAACGTTTTTTTCAAATCAGCATTGTGCCATGTCATAATCTTTCACTTTCTGATACTCTGATCAGAGTATAGTGACTAATTTAAGTTTCCAAACAGGAGTAATGTAGAATCAGCTTCAGCAGTCACTACTCAGAAGTAACATCCTGCAGGAATGTCAAGGAGTTTAAAAATAAAGCATGCCACTAAAATATTTACAGTGGTAGGGGACTATAGGTAACTTTATTTCTCTTTTGGTGATATCACCAAAAAAGAGAAATAAAGTTACCTATATGATATATATATTTATATCACCCCAAAATATATTTCTATATTCTAATTTTTGTCAAGTGGACATGGATCACTTGTATAATAAAAAAAGGTTGTTTAAGCATGCCAACACCATTATTAGCATTAACATATATTAAACTTACATTAGCACTCGGCCTACTCACAATTTGCTGCTTCTAGTACACTGTGGAGTTAGATACCAGTTAATTAAGCCTATTAGAACTATCTTTAGGGGTGACTGGGTGGCTCAGTAGGTTAAGTGTCTGCCTTTGCTGGGGTCATGATCCCAGGGTCCTGGAACTGAGCCCTACATCAGGCTCCCTGCTCAGTGAGAAGCCTGCTTCTCCCTCTCCCACTCCCCCTGCTTGTATTCCCTCTCTTGTTGTGTCTCTCTTTGTCAAATAAATAAATAAAATCTTAAAAAAAAAAAAAGAACTATCTTTTAAAAAAGTCAATAAACTGAGTAAGGACCTAAGAAAAAGCATATGGGTTTTATGTCTTATAATTTGGGAGCTCAGGTAATTTTTAAATTTACTTCCTGGTTACATGGAAGTTGAGGCTGGTGGATAAATGATAAGTGGATAAGTCAGGGATCAGTATTTAAAGACAGGAATAACAGAATGTATACTCATACTGTAATAAACACTCATTGCAGTATTAAAAAATTTTAGGATTTGAAAGGAACCTTTACAATAATCTAGTACAATCTCCCATACAATAAGAAATCCCCTCTACAACATTCCTGATGTTCAAACTCTGCTTAAATAGCCCTAATGACCCAAAGTTCACTGCCTCTGGACACAACCTGCTCCCCTGCTGACTAGTTCTATACCTTCTCTCACTTGACCTCAAATAACAGACAAGTGTGCTTCCTACAGTTTTTCCAACTCTTCCAAAGTCTTCTAGAATTTTCTGAACAAAATGGTCCCAGTCCCCTCAGTCTAGATCATCACAGTTATCCTTTTACATAATCACAAAACTGGTTAAAAACTTTTGGCACCTGAGTGACTCAGTCGGTTAAGCAACCGCCTTGTGATTTCAGCACAGGTCATGATCTCGTGGGTCTGGGGATTGAGCCCTGGGTCAGGCTCCCTGCTCAGTGGAGAGTCTGCTTGAGATTCTCTCTCTCCCTCTCACTCTGCCCCTCCCCCCGCACTCTCAAATAAATAATAAATAAATCTTTTTTTAAAAAAGTTAAAAAAAAACAGTTCTCTTATTCTTCAAGGTATATCTAATGATCAAATCAGTTTTTGTAGAACAATGTTTTATAAGTTAATGGATCTAGTTCATCCATGGTCATACACAATTGGAAAGCTATGAAAGACTTATGGTCCTAGCTCAAATCCAAATTGAACAGCAATACATTTTTGAGTTCCCCCTTCTCTTCTCCTCCCCAAAATAATACCACCAAACAAATCTTAAAAGATACCCTCAACCATAATCTTACATGTTTGCTAGATTTTAATTTTCTCTCAGGCTTCTATCTACCTTCCTATCACTTGAACCTGTGAATGATCTTAAAACAACCAAAATTCTTTAAGCTGCTCTCACAATCATGAATTAGCCCATGACAGGCCCAACTCTAAGGTCTTAAAATTCTGACTTTTTTTCTTCCTGTGCTATCTGGATATCTTCTTATCTGGAACTTTTGGTTTTCCAGAAAATTTTATATATATTATGTATAAAATAATATATATATATATATATATACACACACATTTTATAAATACATATTTACATGCATAGACACACACACATATACATGTACCTTCCCCAATTCTGTTATCTACATGTAACTTTTATGTTCATGTGCTCCTTTCTATGTACCACCAGACATACCATAATCTGTTCTATTTCATTAATCATGACAGCCCCCAGATAAATGGCCTTGATTTTGACTTTAACAAGATACACAATCAGTAGTATCATAAAGGTATGTATCTTACAAAGCTTATTCTCAAGCAAGTTTCAAATAAAATCCCGTTACTAATGAATGAAGATTACTATATCTTTAAATTTCTTGTATTCTTGTATTCACCTATTATTATTATTCCAAATTTTCCACAATGAAAGTGTGGAAAGAAAAGACGGCTAGAGAAGTACCAGCCACAAGAAATTTTTGCAGAGTCCCATGGCAAATAATCAGCCACTTCAAAGGAGATTATCCATATATATCTAAAGGATCTTTCTGGTTTACTGATTTTGCTAACAGAGAGAATAAGCCATTCTTTGAAATGCTTTAAGCCAGCTCTAAACATCAAGAACAAAGTGAAATAATAAATAAGACTCATTTAAAGAGTAGAGTCCCTCAATAGCAATTCAAATAAAACAAAGTCCATCACATTCAGTAATACTGAGAGGCTCAGAAGGACCATGCCAATACAATAGAAACCTGGCCTGCAAACAAAGATAATACCCATATTATCTAGGGAGGCCAGTAACATGCTACAATTGTATATGAGTATTAAATTCAGCAGCACTAAGCACTTAGTTTGTTCATAAGAATAATAACGTAATGTCAAGGTTAAAAACCTATTATAATGTCACCAAACCTTCCATGCAGCTCTGACAAAAACTTCACTCACTTATACAACCCCATTCCCTCTGAATAGTGCAAATAATTATAAGGACAAAAGTCATAAGGAATAGTTGTAGGCTCCATAGTTCTTAAACTATCCTAAAGCCTTGTCATTTGTTTGTTTCCTAGTATTATGAAAACATGTTCATGGTTAAAAATCCAATCTGCCAGAAAGAGTACACAGAAAAAATATGAATCACCTTCCTACCATAGACCTATAGTCTCATTCACCAGGAGTACCTGTCTATAGTTCCTCATACAGATTCCGAAGAAATTTTGCATGTATATATATATAAATGTATGCTAATGAAAACACACTATACAAACAGTTCTATATTGTTTTTCTCAGTTAACAATGTATCAGATTTTGCCATACCTCTGCCTATGAATTAGCTTCATTCTTTCTAAGAGTTATAAAGTACTATATTACATGAAGGCATTTATTTAATCACACCTCTGTTGAGGGATGTTTAGGTTATTCCTAGTTTGTCTGTTTCTTAATTTAAAATAATATGGTAATGATATCTTTATATACAAATTTTTGTGTGCAGGTGCAAATATATCTAAAAGATGAATTCCTAGAAGTACTAACTGGTTTTGGAATTGAGCAAATTCTAAACAAGAAGCCAGTGTCTCTACAAAGGAGATTGGGAAAAAACTACAAGTATAATGCTTAGTGATTAAAAGGTGCCAAACATTACCACAAAGTTAGAAGTTAAAGATTTGAAAGTTAACAAACTCCTAAGATAAAATAGGAAAAAAAGAGAAAATTTACCCCCGGGACAGAAAGATAAAAGGCCTGTTGAATGAATCCTGCCAAGTGATTTTTTAAAAGAAAAGAAAGGAAAATAGCATAAATAAAGCAAGATAAAGGGAGAGAGAAGACATTTTTTAAACTTTTTTTCTTGCTTGAACCTAACATATAAAGTAAAACTGGCCAGAAGATTTGGTACATATATTGTCACAGAGCCAAACTTGGATGTGAGATGATTTAAATGACTATCTGAAACCCCTTTCCTACAGTGTATCCACAGGCTGATATATTCTACCAGGTTCTAAAGTGTTGAAAGGAGATCTCCCAAAAAAAGAGAACAAAGCAGTAATCATCCAGGAGTAATAAAATTTGCTAATCTCTTTAATTTCTGATCAATTTTACAAGAAAATAGTAATAATTACCTCATATATACAGAACAAACCTCTCTTTGAAAGATCCAGATTAAAACAAAATTTGAAGATTCGTTCTATATTTTTCAATCACAATCCTAAAATTTCCTAGACCAATCCAAGGCTGTTCTATTTCTCACCTAACATAAACACAGTCAACAACTTACCTTTCCCAAAGTGCTAGGATTTGAATGCCACAACATAAACTGATTCATGTTTTTGTCCATTAATGGTCCGTGGATTTCTTTAAATGAAGTCCATGCTAGGGTCCATAGATATCAGTGTTCTGCAAAACTGAAAACCTCAAGAATGTCAATGTACATACCTAAGTTACCATTTAGATACTAAATTATTATGAATAATAATTATAATAGTTATTATGAATATAGTCATTTAGATACGCAAAATTAGTGGATATGACATTGAACAGCAGAATGAGGTAGCAAAATTATACTTTATTTTTAAGTAAGACATTACTATTAACAAAATCTAGATCTCAAAACACTGCTTTGTACCATATTTATATGTATTCTAAAGGTGGCACCATAGTAAGAGCTTGTAAAGATGGGAATGATTTGGATATGAACACTTTCCAGAAATTGGGAAAACAAATTTTAAAGGCAGGCAAACTTTTTAAATGTAAACGACTACAATAATGTACTTACATGTCTACTTTCTGGTTTTTTTCAGACTATTTTTAAAAACATCTTGGATTTTTCTTTTTTAAAGATTTTATTTTTAAGTAATCGCTACACCCAAGGCGGGGTTCCAACCCACAACCCCAAGATCAGAAGTCGAATGCTCCACAGAATGAGCCAGCCAGGTGCCCCTAGGATTTTTAAATCTAAAAATGCTTACTAGTTTCTTCTTTGTAAAAACAAACAAACAAAAGCATAAATTCAGGTTTTTCTACTCCATTATATCCAATCTAAAAAAGATTCTAGAACCTCTTAGGAGCTACTACACCTCATTAGATAGCACAAAGTCCATAAACAAAATCACTGCATCCAGATAATGATCTATGCCCAGATCCCATTACAAGCCTGATGTGTCTGTCCTCTGCAATTTTTTGAACTTGACAATCAAGACCAATCTGGTTACAGCACTTGTTCTTTGGGTCTATGGCCACTCTTCATCACATTTAAGACACCTAGACAAATATTTTACAAAGAAGACAATTTAATCTTCAGGGACTCATTCTTTTGGAGGCCTCCTACAAATCTGTGGAAGGAGTTTATGTTATGTGAACACACCAGGTGAAACCTCTGACTGGATTTTTATAAATTAATTTCATCTTTGTTATGAAATCATTCTTATTTACCTCTCAAACGGAAGAAGTATCCCAATGTAAGAAAGAAAACATGAAGAAAATGGAAAGTAAGTTCATACTGCTGAAAGTACTTAGAACACTAGAAGTTCAGGGCTACAACTGTAGTTTATCATTCCTCCCCCATCATTACCTGAAGTTCTTCCGAGAAAAATAAAGGAATCTGAAAGAAGCTGAATTAATCGCTTTTCCTCTACCCCACCAACGAAATATTAAGACAAATTTATAAATTTCAATAATCTCACAAAACAACAACAGTATTCTGAATCTCTACTCCCCCAGCATCCCCATAAATCATTGGTTAGCAAACTACGTTGAAGTCACTTCTACTCTCAGAAAGAGATCCTGAAGTTCGGGAGAAGTTCCCCCTGCTGAGCGAGAATCTGGTTCGTGCGTTCATAATAAATAATTCATTCGTTCAACAACATCTAAAGAATGCCTAATAGTGGCAAGGCACTGTCTTGGATTAAGAGATGAAGTACCTGTCCCCTATTAGCAGAACAGAGGCGAGGGTCGGAGTAGGTAAGAAATGAACTCTACGTCGGCTCATCTCAACACCCAGGCTCCACCTCTAACCCCAGAGCGCCAAGGCTCAGGAGCCCACGACCCCCAGCCATGACCGATTCCTGAAAGTCTCAAGCTGTATTTCCTCGACGACCTCGGTCCTCACGACCCCGTTCCCAAAGTTCCTCGCACCCCTCCCTCCCCAGGGAGTCTGACGCCAAGGAGACTTTCCTCCAGCCTAATGCGAGATCCATCTCTCTCCCTGCCCGAACTACCTGGGCCACCAACACCAACTTCCACCCTTGACCGGGTCCAAGTTTGGCCCGCACGTTACCTGCCCGAGATGCAGGGTTCCAGGAAGACCACAGACGCTCCGCCCCGCCCATCGCGACGCCCTCCACTACCAGGGACCGCCTCCAGGGCGTAACTTCCTGTGCATCACGTCCGGCCGAAATTCCGCTAGGCCCGATGGTCCCGCTTAGCGTCCCACCCCCGCTAGTGACGTCACTTCCGACGTCTTCCTTGGTTTCCTCGGGATCCAGGCGCGCTCCTGATCTTGTTTATGGGGCTCTTTCCCTCCTGCTTTCCTTCACGGATGTGTAGTCCCGCTCGAAGTTCATTTTTTGTTTTTCAGACTGGTTTGCCAGCTTCTGCAGGCTTCTACAGTCACTTCCCTCTGCTCCCTCTTTGTCTTGAACACAAGATTTTTCCCATTTTTCTGCTCAGTGGGGTGCTCCGGAGCGTGGGCTTTGAGGTGGTACTGTCTAGTTTCGAACGCTGCTTCTCACTTGTAAGGGTGTTACCCTGGCAAGTTACTTTTCTGTGCTCGTTTCTTTGTGAAACAGAGATGATACTAGTACCTAGAACGTAGGGTTGGTGTGTTTATTACTTGAGATAATACATGGAAAGCTCTGGCACAATGAAGCGCTCAATGAGTGTTAACGATTACAAGCACTCTTCTTTCCTGTTGGAACTGGTAAGTGGTTAGGAAAGCTGGAACCAGTTTTCTTGTGACCCGTTGTATCATCAGCTTTTAATCAAGTGATTAATAATACTTGGTACCTTCCTCTGAAGTGTGAGCTCCTCCAAAGATGGAGTTGAGTGTAGGAACCAACTTCAGCCCTACTTGAAGTCACCTACCTGCTTGGTTATTGTGCTAGATACTGGAAGAAAGAGGAATAAAACCCAGGCACTGCCCTCAAAAACGTGGAGGTAATAAGTTATGGAAGGAAGAAAGCTAACGTAGGGAAAACAGGAGACCAGTTGAGCTGAGGGTTAATCCTTACAACAAAAACTTAACAGAATGTTAGAAGTGAATTTAGTTAACCTATTGATGTTACAAGTAAGTAAAATTGGACCCAGAGAAGCAACTGACTGAAAGTCACACAATTAGTGCCAGGGCTAGGACTAGAAGTGGAGTCCCAAAATGCTCACCACCTCCTTCCATTCCCAAAATCTGCCTCAAGGTGTTAATAAGGTAAAAGCAGATTCACTTTCAAGACCTTCACTCTCAAGTGAAGAGGAGTAGGAAAATCCCAGACCAAGAGAGACAGACAATGTAACCTAGCGGATGCCACACGATTCTGATGATCATTTGAATGTTCTGGTCTGGCACTGCTGAGCTCATTTCAAATAGTTAGCTGTCTCTCCCCTGGAAACTTCTTATATTTACCCAGAACTGAGGGGTTAAGTACCAGCTCCTGTAAGCTCTATCTTATGTTTTAGCTGGCTAGACAGAAATAAGTAACTGATCCAAGCAGTAACCAAAGGTAAACAGAAAGACTGAGTGCATTGCCAATGAGGTGACACAGTTTTTTTTTAAAGATTTTTATTTATTCATTTGAGAGAGAGAGCAAACAAGAGCACGAGCAGGGGAGAGAGGGAGAGGGAGAAGCAGACTCCCCGCTGAGCAGGGAGCCCGATGCCCGATGCAGGACTTGATCCCAGGGCCCTGAGATCATGACCTGAGCTGAAGGCCAACGCTTAACCGACTGAGCCACCGAGGTGCCCCAAAGTGACACAATCCTATTTAGACTAATCTATTGCAAGCAATTTCTCTTAAATATTCACTCTTTGTTCTAGGAATATAACAAAGCTAGCATGGGTATTATTATTCAAATATTGGTAATAAGTCTGTGTTCCAAATAATCTGGTAATTCTATGGACCCCATAGAATAATGTAGTTGGGATAGGTGAAATTTAAGGTTTCTTCCAACTCTAGCATTAAAAAAGATGACATTTTTAATGAATCAGTGGACCATAAGAATTAAATAATCTGCTGAAAGTCACAAAGTTAGCCAGTGGCAGTCAGTAGAAAACTGAATAGAATCTAGAATGACTAGTTCTGACTAGAATCTAGAACTGATTAGTTCTAGACTCTCAAACTCCTGATTCCATTCATTCACTTATTCATTCAGGAGAGACACCATGCCAGGCATTGGGTATACAGAGATGAAGCCTGGGTGGCTCAGTTGGTTGAGCATCCAACTCTTGATTTCAGCTCAGGTCATGATCTCAGAGTCGTGAGATTGAGCCCTGCTTTGGGCTCCATGCACAGTGGGGAATCTGCTTGAGATTCTCTCTCTCCCTCTGCCCGCGCCCCAAATGCTTTCTCTCTCTAAAATAAATAAGTCTTAAAAAAAAAAGATGCCCGGGATCGAGTCCCACATCGGGCTCCCTGCTCAGCAGGGAGTCTGCTTCTCCCTCTGACCCTCTTCCCTCTTGTGCTTTCTATCTCTCATTCTCTCTCTCTCTCAAATAAATAAATAAAATCTTTGAAAAAAAAAAGATGAATAAGTAATCTGCTTTTGAGGAATTTTATACCTGGTGAGGGAGGCAGAACTATTTTTTTTTAAGATTTTTTTTTTTAAATAATCTCTACATCCTGCACCTGGGTGGCTCAGTCGATTAAGCGTCTGCCTTCAGCTCAGGTCATGATCCCAGGGTACTGGGATCAAATTCCGCATCAGGCTCCTAGCTCAGCAGGGAGCCTGCTTCTCCCTCTCCCTCTGCCTGCTGCTCTCCCTGCTTATGCTCTCTCTCTCTGTCAAATAAATAAATAAAATATTTTTAAAAAGTATTTATAATAAATAAATAAATAATCTCTACATCCATCATGAAGCTCAAACTTACAACCCCAAGATCAAGAGTCTCATGCTCTACTGACTGAGCCAGCCAGGTGCCCCATGGAGGCAGAACTTTTAATGGAAAAATAATTCAGTGTTAATATTATCATAGGTCCATCTAGTTCCTTCCCTCAATCAATGCACTTTTCCCCCTTTGCCACCAAAATACCATAACTTGACAAAAATAAATGCAAAAAATATGTTTTAATCATATTTAAAATCATTTGAGCCACATTTTTAAGAGTCTGAAACAATCACAATTTACATAGATCTTTATATAGGTATTAGAGTCAGCATTTGGGTTATATGCCTATCTCTGCTATTAACTAGCCATGGGACCTTAGACAAATCACTTCACTTCTCTGGGCCTCAATTTCCTCTTTAAGGTCCTGTCTGGAGTAAGCCTGGTCTTGTTCCTGTGTAGTAGAAAACAATGTATATTTCCCACTGTAACCACTAGATGACACACTTTCTTTTCCTCCCTCCTTCTCACCCTTCCTCTTCCTTCCTTCCTCCCATCCTCCAATTCTTCCTCCCTCTCCCTCCCTCCATTCTTCTCTCCCTCCCTCTCTCTCTCTTTCTTTTCTTTTCTTTCTTGTTAGTTCACCTGACCGAGACATCATTACACCACCTATCTGAACAACCACCTATATGTGTAACAACCATGCATCCCAAGACTCTAGGAGATGACAGGCCTAAAATATTTGTTGGATGAGTGAAAGAATGAGTGGATTCTAGGATTCTTTTTGGGCCCTTTTATCTTTTACTACTACTGCCTTTTCTTCTGTTAAAATACTCTTGCAAGCTGTGGTGGTGGAAAGAGGAAGAAAAGAGACAACAGATAGGAACTGGGTTGGGAGGAGAATGCAAAAGGCACTGCATTGCATCCCAAAGCGAACAGCAGTGCACTGTGATATTTATGGATGAAATCATGTAATGTCTGAGACTTTTTTAAAAATAATATGGAAAAGTTCAGATAACAAAGATGGGTCATATATTAATGTTGTTGGAGCTGGATATATTTGGTTTCATTATATTCTTTCTACTTTTTGTGTATGCTTGAAAATTTCCACAAAGTTTAAAATAAGGTAGTGAGTGCATTTCCCTTCCTCTAGTCCAGACCAAGTTCAGACTATCCCATGGAATCTCAATTTGGATACTCTTGACTGACGTGACAGAAATCTTGTCAGAGATTGTGTTTTTGAGAAGTAGACACTGATATGAAGATGGGGATTTTTATTAGGAATGGACAAGAGCAGGATTGGTCAGAGGAAGTTGTTGACCTGCTGCTCAGGTTGAAGGACTCTTCAGCCAACTTGGGAGAGAGCTGCAGAGTGAGTGGTGCCCATCAGAGAGTATCCTCGGTCAGGCTGAAATGGCCAACCCTTTGTACTGGATGCAGCCTGCCTTGGGCAGGGTACAATTTCAAGCAAGGTGGTGCTCTGCCCCTGAGGCAGACCCCAGAGAAGCTAACAGCTGGGGGCTGCCAGCTGGCCATACTCTCTGGAGTCGTGCAGCAAGTCCTTCCTTGAAGGGGAGTCTGGGCAGCACCTCTTTGCATCTTCCACAAAACACAGCAGAACAAAGCTTCAACAATAGGGGATGTATTGACCTCTGTAAATGGACTGTTATGACAGGCATCAGCGTTGGTTTTTCCAGCAACTCAATGATATCATTCACGACCCATTCTTCTTCCCCTCTCTACTCTGCCTTCAGTAGGATCTGCTTCAGTTTATGGCCAGCTTCCCTCAAGGTGGCAAAATGGCTGTAGCAATTCATCTCACATCTACACACTGTGCACCCTCACAGAGGAGATGGACACACATTCGATAGTTCCAAGGCGATTCTCAGGCTAGAAAAGAGAAAAAATATATACATTCATTTCTGGGCACTTGGGTGGCTCAGTTGTTAAGCATCTGCCTTCAGCTCGGGTCATGGTCCCGGGGTCCTCCCTCATTGGACTCTCTGCTCTGTGCGGAGCCTGCTTCTCCCTCTGCCCCTGCCCCTCCCCCTTGCTCATGTTCCCACCCCCCAAATAAATAAATAAAATCTTTTAAAAATATATATATTTATTTCTGGACTAGACACTCAACTCTACAATTCTTATCTTTTCAACTTTAGTATAGGGCCATTATAAAGAACGAATCTTGCCACTTGCAACAATGTGGATGGAGCTAGAGAATATAATGCTAAGTAAAACAAGTCAGATAAGAAAAGACATACCATATGACTTCACTCCTATGTGAAATTTGAGAAACAAACAAACAAACCAAGAACAAACTGGTGGTTGCCA